TATATATTAAAAAATATAATATAAAATACATTGAGAAATGCTCATAATTAATTTAATTTATTATTATAAGCATCAATTATCGAAATATCATTTGTACAACATCTGAAAGTGTTTTGGATTAATTAACTCTAACAATAATTTGTAACCATCTGTTTATTTTGTTTTGAAAAATGCTCTTTAAAAAACTTATTATAATTTGAGACATTATATTTCAAAACAAAACAAATGTAATAAAATAATTATGAATTTAAATCGTTATATTTTTGATAATAATAATATGATAACAATGATTATATCATTGCGATTTAATCTATCAAACATATTATTAAAATAATAACAACTATAATTTGTGACTTATTATGTCAAGTAACATTGTTTTGCAATATTTATTGAATAATAATGACATAAAACGTATATTTTTACAAGACAATATTTCTTTTATTATATGAAAATAATGTTTATTTGAAATAAGTACAAAAACAGTAATTAAACAGCACTTACATATAATCTATGATTCTTTTCATTTCAACGATTGATAAGAATAGTTTTTAATTTTAAAATGATATACGGTAGTAAATGATAATCGATGATTTTAAACAAAAAGTGCCAATCGTTTTAGTAATGTATGTCATATAATAATATAAATTTGTTCGTCGAATCTAAAATAAAATTTTGTTATTTTTATGTTGTTTTCACTTATATTAACGTATCAGCTTTTGATGAAATAAAAATATTTTCTCATCAAACATGTTAAAATTAATTAAAAAAACAACAAAAGCAACATTTGAATTGTTTTTTTTCAAAAAAATAATTTGATGATATTGGTTATTGTTGGATTTTTTTGTTCTTTTTTGTTTTTTTATTCATTTTTTTAACATCAATTGCAATAATAATTAAATGTTGGCAGAAATCGAAAAACTTTATAATTAAATTAAAATTGATGAAAATGCAAAATGTTATACCTTTTCATTTTTAATTAAAATGTTTTTTAAAATATAGGGATCTTAAAGATCGTAAATCGGTGAAATATTTTACCAATTTTTTCTCTTTTTGGTAAACAGGTAAAATGGATTTTACTTCATCCCTAGTTAGAAAGCAATTTTGTTTTTCGTTATTTTTAGCACACTTTTATAAAAAAAAACAAAAAAATAAAATACAAACCATTTTTTTTGAAAAACCACTTTATTTTATTATAAATTATAATACTGTTATTATAAATAATAGTAAAAACCCAATATCGTTAAATAGAAAACAGACTTTAAATGGAGATGTAAATGAGAAAATGTTGCCGATATAATAGTACAGTCAAAGGTGTCTAATTGTCGTAATTATAATTGTCGAAGTTGCTTAATTGTCGCACAACTGGCCAATCATTTTGGTGTACGACAATTAAATATTTTGTTCTCTAATCTGTAACTTTTGTTGAATTAAAAACTAAATTTTTTATAAAAAACAATTTTCAATATTAAAAAGAGTTTTCTACAAAATTAACTCATTTACGACAAATAGATAATTTTTTCTGCTGGATTTACGCATACTCCGTAGCTTTTGCATTTTTTACTCACAAAATTTTTGTCTCATTTTTGTTTTTCTGGATTTTTTTTCGATTATCGAGTGCACCTTTAATCAACAAAATACACTTTTATTTTTGGAAAAATGCTTTTACCAATTTTTTTTAGAATTGTGCAAAAAATACAGATTTAAAAATAAATCATATACATTTTATATTTAGAACTATTTTTTCAATTCCCGATCATTTAAGTCTTCATGGTGTATTATTTAACTATAAAAAATGAAAAGTTATCCAAAATGAACAAAATAACACTGCGATTATTGATTGTTTTAACCAACAGGCATAAACGCCTTTTTACCAAAAAGACAAAAAATACATTAAAATATTACAACTAAAAAACCCGGTTCTTAACAGAAATAATACACTATTGTCTAAAAAATAAAACCAAAACGGCAAAAAATACGACTATAACAGATATTTATGATGTATAGTAACGGGAAATATTTTTAGATGAAACTTGAATATATAAAAAACCTCAATCTTAAAAATAATAAAATTATCTGTTAAATCGAAGTTTTGACGTTTTCTTTCTTTTCAGTGTATTAATAATAATAATATAAAGTATAATTTAATTTTTTCAAAATAATAATTAAATATATAATAAATAATAGTACAACAATATCTAAAAATAAAAAAGAATATTAATAACACAAATATCCAAATAAAATAACTATATAAAAATTAATAACAACTATTAATAAATAGTTAAATGAATTTACAAAAAATCACATTCAAAAAAAACTATTAATTTATATATTTTTTAATCATTAAATATAATTTTAAAAACTTATAGATAAATATTAATTGATTTAATTAACGAAAATGTTATAAATATAATATATTTAATTATAATAATTTAATTTATTATAATATATAAAAAATAAAAAATGTGTTAATTAAAAAAAAGATAATAATAAAACTAACTATTTATTGCTACATATTTTGAATCTTATATTGGTATTATTTTTATTTAATGTGTTATTATTTTTAATACATTTTTATACTACTATTATTATATATGTGTTATTAAGTTTTAATTCAAATTATTGTTTATCACATTTAAATGGTATTATTTATAATTTAGAAATTAAGTTTATTATTATATTGAAATTGATATTAAAAATTGATTTAAACCGAACCCGCCTTAAGAACAATTCAATTACAAACACTGATTATTTTATACTTTTTAATTTAATTACTACTATAATTGAAAATTATGGGGTTTTATTTTGTTTAGCTAAGGACAATAAAACGGTGATATACGTATCAATAATATAATTAATGAGCTTATAAACGTTGAATTTGAAATACATGTATATACTTAGTAAAGGAGAATGAAATTATCAAGTACCAAAGTATATAACAAAAAGAAATAATTATATTAAAAGCATTTTTGTAAGTCATCATTGTGGTAATGATGTTATACTATTTGAATACCAACATTTGTATGATTCTAACGATTTAATTATGTGTTTATTGACTAACAGGTGATGATTATATTCAATTTTTCTAATGGCTGTTCGGCGACTTATGATATTACTGAGAAGTCGGCGCCTTTTTGAGTCCCTTTAAAAGTCGCCGACTTTTGAAGGGACTTCTTTAGTTCAAAAAGACTTCTTTTAGAACTAAATAACTATTAACTTCAATAAATTATATTATATTAATTATAGTCTCAAAAATGTGTAAAAACACAATAATTGTTATAATTTGTTATATTATAATCATATAAATATAATTTAAAAAATGATTTGAGAAGATATAATTGGGACGGTATTTTTTCATTTCTTTTTTTAATAATAATTATATTAAATTTATATGGTTTATTTTTTGAATATCTTTTACATGATAAATAATATTTTGAATAGTTATTTAACTAAATATTTAGGTCAGCGACTTTTAAGACCACTGAAAAGTCGGCGATTTTCAAAGGGACTATAAAGTCGCCGAACAGCTATAATGATATTTGTATCGTTTATTATGATACATTTTGAATAAAGTTTAGCAATTCAATAGTTATTATATAGTTTACTTTAAATAATTCTGACTTGATATAGTTAAAATAATTAATATTTATTATAATTAATACTTTAAGTGTTCAAAAGAATTTTTATTACCAAAAATGTGGATTTTTAACACTTAAAAAGTATACAAAATGCGTTTTTGGGAAATGATTAATAATAACAAGATTATTCAAAATATGTTTTATGACAATTCAAATAAAATAGTAAAAAACTATAAAAAAACAAGTCTTGGCTTAAAAAAAATAAATATGAATAACATCGAAGCGGATACTTTTTTGTCTGCCTGATTTCACACATTCAAATAATGCGAAGAATATTCGCATTTGTTGCGTTCTTAACAATATTCTTAAAGTTATTATCTCTTCAAATCATCAGAACATCTAATTCTGCAACTTGTTGAGTTCTTAAAGTCGTGTTTGAATGAAACTCGAGACTCTTTTACTGTTTTTGTTCAATCATATCGGCAACACTATAGAATTTTGACTGTAAATTGTTGTTTGTTTCAACGTCAGGTTGTCTTTTATTTTGCCTGAGATCGCGTCCATACTAATAATATCCGACATGTCATCAAACTGTAAAGCGGCTTTAGCAGCGTCAGACAATCTATTCATGTTGTCGTGGACTTTGTCCTCTGTATTTATTATGAGGCTTTCCATTGTATCGGCTTAGTCTTTTAAGCCTTAATCGGTTTATTCAAGTGGCTCACTTATCGGCTATGGTTCTAGCTGCTATTCTATGTCTCGATATTTTTCACCTTGTATTGTCAAAGCTTAATGAATTTTATGTATTATTAAAGTTTTTTATTACAACTATTATAAAAATATTTAATGCTATTATATTATTTTTTATAGTTAAATTATAGTAAATATAGCATATGTAGTATATTAATAGATTATTTTAAGTTCTATAACAAACAATCGTAAAAAACCTAAAAATAATTGAAAAATAGAACTCAAAAAACAAAAAATGGAACTTATACACAACAACGTTAAATTTGAATTTTGTGAATTTTGGTTTTTAAGGGGTTTTTAAAAGCAAAAGAAAATGGTTTTGAAACAAAGTTTTATTGTTTTACCCACAATAAATGGTATGCACCCGGTTCGCTATACCGCCATTATTCGACCCATAGCTTTAAATTTCCCAAAAATTTGGCCGATAACGATCCCAATTTGGATTTAATTAAAAAACAATATTCAAATTTTTTAATTACTGGAAATAAAACAACAATTCAAAATTCGTTTGTTAAAATTAGTTGTATATTAGACAAAGATGAGTTGGTTAAAAAATTGAAACTTAAAAACCACCCACCACCTCCCCCCAAAAGACCAAGAAGAAACACAACAACAAATATTGATACGTTTACAATAACAAGTAAAAATGGCACATTTGAACAAAGTGAACAATCAATGCAAATGGAAGATGCGAATATACAAAACGCAATACCTTCTGCTTTTGTTCCTGTTCAATGTCTTCCATCATTTTTCAGTGTTGAGAACAATATCAGTAACACATTTGGAAGAACTACAATGATGTTAGAAAATGAAAAAGAAGAGTCACAGAGGAGTGGAGGAATAGAAAGTAATGGGAATCTAAAGGGTATCCGACCGCATGACGCAGTGGAGAAGAGTGGGAACTTAACCACTCCTGCTTTCGTTCCTGTTCCAGATTTGCCATTTACTTTCGAAACTCCCAACCCTCTTAGAAATCGAGCAATGCAAAAACACCAGATCCAAAACGAACGTGTTATCTTCGGACAATCAGTCATACAAAGTGTACAAGAACAAGTACAAACACCATCCAATAAAACTATTGAAAACAACCCAATCACAAATACTTTACTACAACAAAGGGATTATAACAACTTCAACGATCATAAAACTTTTTCATCTGACACTGAAAATATGTCATTAGAACAAAACTCAGACGAAGAAAGTGATAGTGAATTTGAAGATACAAATAATGATTATATTGTTCAAAATGAAAATGAGGAAAATGAGGAAAGAGAAGATGAAAAAACGATAAAAAATAAAACCGACATATTCAACAACAACTTCTTCAATGAAATCACAAAGAAAAGTTTAAACAAATGGAACAAAAAGTTGTTATTTTTCAACATTAGAGAGTTTGTTGCAGAGAGTGGAAGTACATCAAAACAACTCTTTTTCGTTTTGTGTGATTATTTGTTTAATAAATATGAAACAATGGAAAAATTAAGAGACGAAAGAAGAACAGCAAAAGGAAAAAACAAACCAAAAAGAAAATCATCACTCCATGTATTGAAAAAAGATGATATTAACCTTTATGATTTCATCGACTTTCATTGATCTGAATTATTCAGAGTCTCAAATGAACGGAGTTGCAGATGTTCTTAAGTATTATCAAAGATTGGTTTTTTGTATGAATCCCGAAAATTTCGAAAAGGTGTCAATAAGTCCTTCTACTGTTCGTAAAATAATGAATGAATACAACGAAATGCGCAGAAAAAGAGATCTCAAAGAAGTCAGAAAAGGAATATGCGCAACGATTGAAATTGATTCTTTGTCTAAAAAAGGTCAAGATATTATGGGTGTTTTAATGCGTTATTCAACTGGTGAAGTGATTAAATGTTGTCCACTTTTCCTAGAAAAATACAATCATTCAAAAAGTGGAGTAGCAATGGCCAATTAATTATTCACAAGATTATTAAATATAGAATTTCCAATTCACTTAATCATTTCTTTGGTGTTCGATTCAACAAGTTCTAATACATCTAAAAACGTTGGTCTATTTGTTGAATTTTACAATCTGGTCAAAAAAGCAAAACTCAAAACCATTGAAGGAAGCATAGTGTCTCGAACTTTAAAAAGTGTTAGTTGTTTTGGACACAGAGTAAATTTAATTGCGGAAGACAGCAACCGAATGGATCAGACTGCAATTAGACTGCTTTTGTTACTTATTTCTGTCAAAGTGATACTCTGAAAAGATTTTATTTGTTTAGAGAGTATGAAACTCCTCCACTTAGTGTGGCATCAAGGACTCGATGGCTTGAGATTGTAAAAAATATCAGAGATATCGAAGAAAATTATGGTCTGATTTTTGTTATATCAACAACAACCAAAAGCACACAGTGATATGATTGCATACATGAAAAAGATCTTTGTTAAAAAACAAATCTTTACACAATAATAGAAACATTTGAATTGGATAAAGATAAAACACTTATGAATTTCAAAGCTTTGCACGATGTTCTGTATCTTGTGAAAAGTCTTTGCACTGTATTCCAAGAAAAAAAATCATTTATATTGTATTTTGGGAGCGAGTTCAATTATTCCGAATGTATCTGATCAATGTTTTGAATAATGTGCGAAAAAGTGATTATTCGGATTTGTATTTCTTGGGTAATGACTCGAATTGTAACACCCCAAACACTGAAGTTGACTTGGATTTTTTACAGTGTTTATTACAAACTGTTATTCAATCTTTTGATATCAGATTCAACACGATTTCATCTTCTGAAGATATCAGACAATTTGTTGATGTTTTGAAAAAGTGTTCCAATTTGCCAGATTATTTGGTTAACAGTACAAATAATTCAATGGATGATGATGAAAACAGAATCGGGATTGATAGTGAAGATGTTGTTGAAACCACTTCTGAAGAAATTGAAGAAGTTGAACATTGTATTGACGAGAATGAAGTGAACAATATCCTCGGTGAAATGTTCGGAGAATTACCAAAGAATGATATTGAACTAATCAATGGTAATAATTTAATAGGAATTGATAATACCGACTTTAACATCGAAGGGCTCATGTACATGTTTTACAAACCAGATGAAATTATCAATAAATTTTCCGATGACACACTTGAAGAAAAAAGTGACTTTACAATACCCAAAGGATTTGAAGATACTAAAGAAGAACTTGAAAAATTGGAATCTCTTATTGAAAGTAATTTGGATTTGATAAAATCAGAATCAAAAGGGAATTACTTAAGGTCAAAATTTGACATTGAATTGATCAAAAAACAGGATATGTAAGAAGTTATAACCTTTTGGATGTTTATCCTTTTATGGAGAAGAAAGATTATCCAAAACTTGTAGAAATAGTAAATATTTTACTTACTACTTTTTCTACTTCGGTTTCTGTTGAAAGATTTTTTTCACAAGTGAAACATGCTCTTCATTTGAATTTGGATATTGATGGTGTATTTGCAAAACTATATTACCGTAATTTGAATCACAAAATGATTTTTGATTTCAAAACCAATTTCGACAATTGATATGAAACACCTCAATAAATTAAATTTTATTTATATTTTTATTGTTTGAAATAGATATATATCTAATAATATATTTTATTTTATTTGAATAATTATTTGTAATAATTATTAACACAATGAATGATTATTATAATAATCGTTTAAATTATAATTACTATATTATAATTTGTTAATTATTATTAATTCTGAATGTTTAATTATTATTGTTAATTTTTTTAAATAAATATATTTTTAATTTATTTCACTATTTAATTATGTTTGTTTAATTATATTTAACACAAAATTAATAATAATAATAATTATAATAATAATAATTATTATTATTATTATTATTATTATTATTATTATTATTATTATTATTATTATTATTATTATTATTATTACAAGACAAATTAAAATTAATTTTGTTGTTAACTTAATTAAACAAACATATAATATAATATATTTATTTACAATATATATTTTTTTTAATTGATATATGATTATTTGATATGTAATATAAATATAACTAAACACTTTTTTGAAACAAATATATTTATAAGTTTTATAATATTATTTTAATAACAAACTTATCAATTTGAAAAGATAAAAATAGTTATTTTTTCTTCCAAGGTTTTATTTTTAAATTTGGCATTTTGAACAAAACAATAACCAAAAAGTGAAAGATTTATATTATTTCTTGGTAACATTTATTATTTTATAAAAACACCTCCAATTTTAGATTATTGATTTAAAGAAAAATAAGTTGGTAAAGGGAAATGCACTTTTGGGCAAAAAAGCTTGAAAAAAGACTGGGTTTTTAAAAATGCAAAAGCTACGGAGTATGATTTAAGACAAATAGACGCCTTTGACCAGAGTGTCCAAAAAACGTCTAAGTCCCAAGTTAAGGAAAGGTCAAAAAAAATGTTTTGAAATAATTGATTTTTTTTCTTTTTGGTTTAATTTATTTTTATGAATGAAAATCTATGATGGCTTGGTAAACAATTAATAAATATGTTATTTAAAACAATAAAATTGTACTTAAACAACTTAATTAACAAAAAATAACACTGTTAAGTGTCGTTTTTGTGTGTATGAGTGCGTCAATTATATCGACCCTGTTTAAAAAGACTGGGTCGATTATATATATAAAGGCGAGTCGTCTTGCCTTCATATATACGTAACTAATGTTATTATTTAAAATCGATTCTCGGTATTTTGAAATGAGTAGAAACGAGACTCATTTTAACCTAGAATTTGAGTCTCATTTGTTCAGGAAGTATTCTTTTAATTTTTTAGATTATTATGTGTGTTTTACATTTTTTTGTTCTTGTAGAGAACAGTAAAATAACGGGAAATTTGATAAATTACAAATCTGGTTTTAATGATAGTTCTAACTTTTCTCTTAAATTTTATCAATAAAATATTATATTTTTGATTTATTTGCTTAGATTTTTGGGAAATTTCGTAAATGTGTTCATTTTTTTACATGTTTTATTATTGTTTTTGTGAATTGAATAATGTGCTTGAAATTGCTAAAGTTTTCAATTTTATAATCAAATAATTAATAGTGTTTAATTTAATTTTTCGGGAAAAAAATAAGAAAAATTTATGTTCAATTTGATTGTAAATTTTCGGGATAAATTAATGTTATTTTTGTCTCCTTTAAAATTCAATTATTTTTTGATCAAATCGATCAAAAATCCAATTTTTTGTTATTTTTACTCCAAAATCCTTAACTTGGGACTTAAGTGCATTTTTTTGGACACTCTGCTTTGACTGTATTTTTATTATATTTTTATAATTTATTATCCACTTTTTTAATATTAACAAAAAAAGGCTTTTTCCACCATTTTTAGAAATAGACTTTATTTACTATTTGATATAATATGCAAATTAAATTTATAGTAAATAGGAATTTTAGAAAATATTTAGTCTGGTTCCCGAATTGAAAAAAATGAAATGCCGGAAATTCACATTTCACAGACAAGTAGAGAGTCTAATGTCATCAACGCACTTATCTTCTTTGATTCACTGGAAAGTGTTCGCACAGCTGAACTTATGACTGGAGTGTTACTCTATCACGAACGAGTCGATATTAAACCGACTACTCTTTTACACCTCCCTGATGAAAAGATCTATTCATTCCTTGTAACTCCACAACAAAACAATAATCCACAGAATGGACAAACAAAGACATCTGTTGTAGCTTCTTTGATTGCACATGGGTATGTCGTGGCACAAGATACATAAAAAACAGTCGAATTTGATAAAACGCAACATTACATCATCGATAAAAAGTGGTGCTGGAAAAGTGAAAAACGTCGCAATGGATGTCGACGAGGAACTCCATCTGACAGAGTACTTAACCTTTGGAACTGTGATGGTGTGGAGTTGTTTTACTGCCGCAGATGATAAATTCAAAATCACCACAAAAGTTTATAACACCCTTGAGAATATCGATAATGCTCTTGGCGTTTCGGATAAATGGAAGAGCGTGAAAAATAGTGCCGAGAATAGGTAAGCCGCGGTTTCAAATTCAACACCATTCAATGCCGAGAGATCGGTGTGTTCAGACTTCTCAATGGATGTGACCAATTCAATCGATAAATTGAAAGAAACAACTGACGTGGAAAACAAAGAACAAAAAGAAGAACAAAGCAGTCAACACAAATAAACGAAGAGGACAAAACAAGTCCAGAAATTAATGACGATATATCCCATTACCTCATATAAGTGTATTTACCATTAATTTTACTATAAATGTATTATAGTTTTTTTATAATATATTTTATAGCCATTTTAATATTAAAAGAAGATTAAAAAGAATCATTCGTAAACTAAAAAAATGGTAAAGTTGAGATGAACTAATAATGCACTAAAAATGAACTGAAAAATTTATTTTTGTTTCGAAACAAAAAGGAATATTAATTATAGATAGTATATTATGGGTTTCCTATTTCCTCTTTCTTGTTTGCCAAGAGGATTGGATATATCTTGGTGTATGCCGTGTTCAGACTTTCGTCGTCCTTAGCACCAGTCAACACAACCTTTCCGGTTGAGAAGACAAGAAGTGTTACTTTTGGTTGCGTCATTCTGAAAACAAGACCTGGGAACACCTCTGGTTCGTACTGACACATATCGGTGTTGCTGTCATACAAAGAACGGAGCGAGATTTGGAATTTGACGTCGCACGACCCGACGATGTTCTGAACGTTGAAGTTTGAGAAACGGACCTCATTGTACCCGATTTTCTTTATGATTTTTGCGTACTTTTTTGCAGCAATCTTGCTCTCCTCAATCGATCGAGTTCCTGTGCACACAATCTTTCCAGTTTGGAAAATGAGTGCTGTTGATTTTGGACTTGATATTCTCATGATTGCGCCAGCAAAACGCTTTGGATTGTACTCGGCATTACGCGCTTTTTGAACGATTTTACGGAGGTCAAGTTGTTGGTTGAGTTGGAATGTGGAAACGACGTTCACAATTTCTGGGTGTGTCTCGTTAGGGTTGTTTAGTCTGTCTTGAGACTCCGTTGTGGTTGAGAGTCGGTCACCGTATATCGAGGTGCCAATCTGACTCAGTTGACGGAAATCCGTGGTGCTGCCCATCATAAAGGGCGAGAATTGTGAGTCTGGCAACGACATTGAATGTCTTTTACAATTTCTTTTTTTATTATCTCTTTGTTTCTCCAAATTTTTTGGGCTTAAATGCTTTGTCTTTCCGGGTATTGTCATTTTTATGATAAATCATACATATTATAGTTATTTTATTATTTAATGTTTATATCAAATATCATAAACTATTTCATAATAATTTTAAACCATTTTTTTATTTAACTTATAAGGTAATAAGTAATTATTATAATTATATTATATCACTAAATTACTTGAAAAAAGTATTATAATAATAGTTCTTTTATTATTTAAAATTAACACACATTTTTAAGTAAATTATTTTATTTCAACTATATTATAAATAATAATTATTTAATGTATTATAAATAGTAGTTTTGTATTATTAATACTTATAATACAATCATATTAAAACTATAATAATATAAAAATATTCAATTATCAATATAATTATCCCAACAACTTCCAAGCACAGAAGGAGAACCAATCACTCCAGCAGTTGTTGAACCCATCAAATAAACACCAAAACCAGAAAATCTTTCGCAGACTGTGGAAACAGTTTCCACACCAAAAAAGACAATTCCAATCTTGAGCTCTCAAAATCCAAAACACAGAAAGGTGAAACCTCTCAAAGTTGAGATTAAAAATGTCGTAACGGCGAAACCCGGAACAAACACAAGCGAAGTGAAACCTAAGCAACAGCCGCAAATAATCCCTGAGAACTTCAAACCAATTGATGAGAAGGATTTGCATGAGTGTTTCTACTATTTTGACACAAATGGAGACAACATGCTCACTGCAGAACAGCTCAAGTACGTTATTAGAGCTTTCGGCGTCAGCCTTGAAACCTCAAAGATGGACGAGATCATCACACAATGAAGTACCGAAAGAAAGGAATAAAAAAACGAACGGACGGTACAAACCATTTGAAGGCTTTACGAGACATGTTGGACGAGTGCCAGAAACAGGTCTACTTTTCGAAGCCTAAAAAAGTGAATGTTAAAAATAATTATTATACAGTGGCAATATTTAAGTACTTAATTTGGAATAAACCCACTTAAGTGAGTAAATTTTGGTTTTATTTTTGGAAATAACAAAAAATTAGAAAAAACTGATATTATGTTATAAGACAAAAACATTTTAATAATAACAAATTATTTTTTATTAAAAATAACATTTTAATAACATTTTAATAACAAAAAAACAAAAAAGAAAAAATAATTAATTACAATTTTTTTCATGACATTTGCAAAACTTGGGCTATATGTTGATTTGTTCTGGTGAAGACTTTATGATTTTTAAGTCCTTTTCAAGTTTAAACATTTTTAATGCTTTGAGTGGAAAACTTGTCGAATCCAGAATCCATTTGGTATTTGACCAAAAAGTGTACGATTTTTACCTTTTTGTGTAAAAACCCACATTTTACGATTTACACAAAATGTAACTTATTTTTTGATCCAAATGTTTCTTTAAAACAGTTTTCAACAAAAGCTCAAAAGTTTAATTTAAAAATACCGACTTTGAAGTTTATAAATTAAAAAATAATAAATTCAATTTCAATCCAAAAAATTCAATTCTTCGTATTATCCCATTTTTTCTCTTATTGTTCCTTAAATGTTAAATGTTTGTTATTGTTATTGATTGAATTCTCGTCTTTTATATTCATTCGTTTATTTTTTTATATTTCTATCATCTTCTTTTGAATCTTAACAACAACTGTTATGAAATATTTTTTAATGTTATTTGTTAAAAACAATCATTGAAATAATGTGCACAAAAAAGACCACAAATCCAATCCGGCTTTTATTTTCAAGCTAGTCCATTGTGTTCATTATTGTTCTTATTTCACTTTTTGAACCTTTTTTGAGTTTCTTTTTGTCAAAAGAAAATACTTTTCAAAACGAATTTTGTAAAAAACAAAAGCTATATTTTAAGTTTATTTTAATTAAAATAAAAAACCATTTCAAATAATTTTTTTCTTCTCGAGCAAAATTGACTTTTTTCTCAAAAAACAAAGAAAAGACCCAATCCAACCCATTTTTCTATTTATAAATGGTGGTACTTAAGTTTTTTCTATTTTTGCTTAAAGTTCAACCAAAGTTTCACAAAATTTACTCACTTAAGTGGGTTTATTCCACTACTGTATTTGATATTTCTACTGAATTGTTGCAATTTATTGGAAGACAACGTTAAGATTGTAATCCTTTTAAAATGAATTAACATTTATATATACAACATCTTCATCAAAGAATAAAAATAATTTAGATAATTATTTGATTAAAGCCGAGAAGTTTATTGAAAATTATAATAGATTAGATTTAGAAGTTAACACGTATAAAACCGAAACATGAAAAAATAAGTTTTTCTTTTACCAAATAACAATTTTGCCAATAAATAGTTTTTAATAAAATAATTTTTGTGTGATTTTTCGGAATTGATTAACTCGCCGACGTACCTAATCCCCAACAAACCAATACTGTTAAAAAGAGCAGTGTTTTTGTTTTTTGAAAAAAATTATATTATACAGTGTAGTTCAATTATAGTAAAATCAAAATGGAATAACGAGTTCAAATCGTGAACTAAAAAACAAATAAAATGTGAAAAAAATGAAAAAAAATATAAAATTTCATGACAAAAAAGTTAAAAATGGCAAAATAAAAATAATGGTAAAATGCAATAACATTTATTCTAAAACAGATAAATATGTTTTTTATACACTAAACAAAAAACTGTTGGTTTTGAGTTGAAATGAAATACAAATTGCAAAAGTAACATCAATACATCAGTGATAATTAAAAAAACAGACAAAATTTTTGTACACACAACAGTCTTTATAAAAAATATAAACTTTTCAAAAAACCCATTTCATTAACTGTGTATTTTTTCAGACAGTACGATGTAGCAAAATTTTTGACTGTTTTTTCTGTTTATAATATATTTTTATCATCTTTTGGTATTTACAATAAAGTGAGTAATCTTTTGAAGAGTTTTTATCAAAAGAAATTAAAATATAACAAGCAATCATTAAAAACAGTTTTTAGTGTCAAATATATTATTGTTTTTATAACAATTACCCTCCATTACATATAATCCACACATTTTTTTATATTGTTGTCTGACTTTTTGTATAATACATGGACTGTTTAACCAATTGTTTGTTAACTACTTATGACAAGTTGATGTATACAGTTACTTATTTTAATTATCTATTGAAAAGAGTGTTTAAAATGAATAAGGAAAACCATAACTATATTTTTAATTTTTCAAACAACAAAAAACCAAACTTCTTTGTTTATCAATGCTATTTTATTGATTTATTTGGTGTATATTTTTATTTTTTGTTGTTTTTTACATTATGAGTAATTTAGCTTTTTATTGTCAATTAAAATTTTTAAATTTTTAAATTATTATTATTATTATTATTATTATTATTATTATTATTATTATTATTATTATTATTATTATTATTATTATTATTATTATTATTATTATTATTTATATTCGGGTTGCTTAATAATCAATTGCAGAAACATCACTGTCTGTAAAAGCGATGTATAATGAATTCGTTTTATCGTTATATTATTTAACAACTATTTCGACTCATCATTTTCACTATAACACAGAAGCGTGTTACTTATTGTTAATATCAACTATTGTTATCAATTTGCGTCATTCGGTGAACATAATTAATTATGTTTTTTCTTGTTACCACTATTATTATTTGTTTGTTTTATCAAACACAAAATAGCAATTATCACGTAAGTTATGTGTGCTTTTTATCATCATTGTTATTAGATTTTATGAATATTTTTCTTGGAGTTGGCAAAAAAGTCTGTCTCGATAAGATTAACTATATTTTATTATAAATAACCATTTTTATTGGTTATTA